TACTACACCTTTACTCTAATCTCGGGAAAACGATATATTTATTCAGTTACCGGTGATACACACTTAGAACCCAGTTTTAAAACGTTGAAAAATTATTCAAACAAATCGACCACTTCGGAAACATATTTTCTATATTAATTCAATCAATTGGCCCACCCCCAAAAATATTTATTTTTACATGGCCGAATTGATTGAGTTTTTACGGTACAGTGTGATAATCACTAATTACTGTTTAACAATTGACATTTAATAGGTTCCTGGCCTTCCCACACCAATTGAGAACATGATCTTGCGATATGTGAAGGCAAGAGCTGATTGGTGGACCAACACAGCACATTATAACAGAGAACGTATCCGTAGAGGTGCCACGGTAGATAAGACAGTCTGTAAGAAAAATCTGGGAAGACTAACGAGGTTGTATCTTAAAGCAGAACAAGAAAGACAACACAACTATTTGAAGGTAAGTCCTGATTCATAACTTCCATTGTAGTAATACTCGTCTGTATCCTTCCTCGTATGTTGCTGAGTACCAAGAAAGTCTGAAAATGGCAGCTCACTAATAATACTTCAGGGTTAAAACTTTGGAGTTAAGGGGGACAGTCATTTTCAAAGCCAAAATTGTCTTACTTGTAGAAATACCATTATTTGGTATCAAGGCAATTGTCTTCATTGCCTCTGAAGTTCAATCTCTGTTGCATTCTAACCCTTGGGACGCGATAATTTGTCGGCATAATTTGGACATTTATAAAAAATAATTTTTACTTTACCTGCTACGCAAGAATTTCAACAAATTACAAAAATGATTTTACTGAATTGTAATTTATATGAGTTGACTTTGACTTAGGCATTTCCATGACCTTAGCTAGCTACATTATGACTAGAAAAGTTGACATTGAGTGAATATTGTAAACTGCTTTAAGTTTACAAAATCACAAAATTTTGAGAAGTAAAAATGAAATGGTTCACAGTATACTGATGGTTTGATGTAGTGATGCACACTGTATATGGTAGAACTAGTTTGTAGTGCTACAATTGCACTTTGATAGTACCAAAAAAAATTACTCTTTTTATAATTTTATGACCATGATTTCTATAATAGGATGGTCCTTACATCTCAGCAGAAGAAGCAGTCGCCGTCTACACAACGACTGTACATTGGCTTGAAAGTCGACGATTCTCCCCAATTCCGTTCCCACCACTGTCCTACAAACATGACACTAAATTACTGATTCTGGCATTGGAACGACTCAAAGAAGCTTACAGTGTAAAAAGTCGTCTTAATCAATCACAGCGTGAAGAACTTGGACTTGTTGAACAAGCATATGATAATCCCCATGAAGCTCTTAGTAGAATTAAGCGTCACTTGTTGACGCAGAGAGCTTTTAAAGAGGTAAGTTCACTGTTATCTGTTACTGTCAAAGCTAGTCGGTAGTTTCAACACTAGATTATGTTTCTCCTTTATTTCGTGATCAGGGATCCGGTAATATTTGTGATAAAAATGCACAGGGTAAATTATGAATATCTCGGCAATTTTCATTTATTATTTCTCACTCAAAATGAGAACACTTTACACTATATTATTGATATAATAGAGTTCAGTCATCCCAAAGCTTCTGTACTGATATTTGTTTGACTTGTACACCTATGTAGGTTGGTATAGAGTTCATGGATCTCTACAGTCATCTCATACCTGTATACGATGTGGAACCATTAGAGAAGATCACTGATGCTTATTTAGATCAATATCTGTGGTATGAAGCTGATAAAAGGAGATTATTTCCACCGTGGATTAAGCCATCAGACAGTGAACCTCCACCGTTGTTGGTCTACAAGTGGTGCCAAGGTGAGTAGAGAACAACCTTATCACTAGTCTTTTCTGTTTACCTTTTGAACACAGAAATATTGAAATTTGTTATATTGTTACAATATGCAAAATATATTGCATTATATTAATTCACCCTCATTTCTATGCATTTTTATTTGGATAGACAAAGCACTTCTTTTCATCTGTCATTCATCTATAATGTTATTGTGCATGCATGCATGCATTAGGTTCGGATTTAAAGGAATAAATATTTTGAAATCAATAATTTAAATTGTCTCAGAAGTCATAAATTTCACATTCTCTATATAAAACTGAATTTCTACTTTATTTCATTAATGCTCCTGAATTTAAAGCAATATGTATGTGTAATTTATTTTCACTGATTTCTGTCCAGTTGAATGTAAAATATAGGGAAAAGGTATATTTGCTGGATTTTATTTTCTCTAAATCTTTCGTTGAGTGAAAATTGCAAATTAATTCCAAGTTTTCACTGTTTCTCAGTGGTAAATAATGTTGGTTGTCACCAATGAAAAGGATTAACCATGTATCATAACTTTATTTGTTTAGGTATCAACAACTTGCAGGATGTGTGGGATACAGGGGAAGGTGAATGTAATGTCATGATAGAATCCAAATTTGAAAAGATGTACGAGAAGATAGATTTGACTTTACTCAACAGATTACTTCGTCTCATTGTGGATCATAATATTGCTGATTACATGACAGCAAAAAACAATGTTGTTATCAACTACAAGGTAGGATTCTGGCTGTTACTTTGTGTGCAAGAGAATTTTAGTTTTAATTAATTAACGTCAACACAAACTCCAAACGTTATGGGCAGCATACTGTGCTATGGATGTCAATATGTTTTCATTGCATCGCTGTAGATAATGCCATTTCAGTTGGATGTACCTCCAGATTGTCTGGATTCTGTGTCCCGTCCAATATAACTTCTTTGATATATTATTGGGGAGTAGCCATGCAAATTTATTTAAACATCACAAAGCTTCCTGTTTAATTCAACTACAAAAAAAAAAGTTAGTTTGTTAGTGGGTCCTTTCTCAAAGATAGACTTACATCATAGTTACATGAATGTTGCTATGACTAATCAAAAACAAGTCCAGACAATGGTTTTTCTTATTATCTTATTTTCTTATCTTTTCAAAACACTATCCAACTTTTCCTCACTAACGCCAACAATTTGTGTTCTCTATTGACTTCCTGTTCTGCTTTATCTTTGAGAATGGATAGAATTTTGTATTTCAATCTTTCCACTCATTGAGAATTCGTTTTATACTTAACTACTGTATTTTACACACAGGATATGAACCATACTAATTCCTATGGTATTATTAGAGGTCTGCAGTTTGCATCATTCATTGCACAATACTATGGTTTAGTATTAGATTTACTTGTACTGGGTTTGCATAGAGCAAGTGAAATGTGTGGACCACCACAGATGCCAAATGACTTCCTTACGTATCAGGTAAACAAAAGAACTTGTCTACAGCTTTGTTGGTTTCTTAGAAATATAATAATAAGAGGGTTATGTGAACAGAATGCCATCATTGTAATTTCTTTACTTGTGGTTACAATTTTCATGTTGTCTGCTTCAAACTTGTGTTTTTGCCATGTTTGATAAGGCTAAACATATTTGAAATATAATAATGTTTGCATCCATATCTTGATGGTGCATGTCAAATGATAGAAACAAACGTTGCACTGCTTTTTTCTGCTACAGTTCTTCTGTATTCTCTGAAGCTAATCATATTAACATGTCTTTCTTGTAACAGGATGTTGTCTCGGAAACTGCTCATCCAATCAGGCTGTTTTCTAGATACATTGATAAAGTGCATATATACTTCAGGTTGGTGTTTATTTATTAGAGAACATTTCTTAATTTACTATGCAAAGCTATTTGCTTAATCATTCAATAAAATGCAAATCATTTTCTTAATAGCTAATCATGATGAATATGGAGAGTGGGCAAATAGTTACAAACACTGATTTTTGATGACAATTAGTTCATTTGTTACACAAGGACAGTTTCCTTTGTGGTCACCAAATCCTTTTTTCTTGTGGATATTGTCATTCTCAAACATTGCTGTTTTCAGCCAATGTAACGTTGTTTTAGCTTTCTTGAAACAGTTTGTAGTAGTTAAATGGTGGTCACTGTTGCCTTTAATGTTTAAATTTCGCTGATTTATCATTTTAGGGCATATTCAGTGGGTTTTAAATTCACGGTTTTATCATTTAGATAATGTGTTCTATGCTAAATTTGACATATTCACCGAGTTATGATTTAGTGTACTTTTCCAGTCAGCGAAATAAGCAAAATTAAAACCTAGTGAACAATTAACCCTTTTACAGTATTTCATGACGTTACCATAACTGATTTACATCAAAGTTGTCTGTGTATTGCAGGTTTACGGCAGAGGAGGCAAGAGATCTGATTCAGAGATATCTAACAGAGCATCCTGACCCTAATAATGAGAATATTGTCGGCTATAATAATAAGAAATGCTGGCCCAGAGATGCAAGAATGAGACTTATGAAACATGATGTCAACCTGTAAGTAAATAGCTGCTCATACCTTCTTGTCCAAATTTATCTCCACTTTTTTTCTTATATTCTTCAATATTTCTGGAAATGACCCCCCAATTATGGAGCAAACAGACAACATTTGAGTAAATTTTCAGTTTCTACTCAAAAAATTGGCAGACTATAAACTATAAACAGGACTATTTTGTGAATTTGTGATGAAAAGAAGGAACTTGTAGTAAAAAGGTTAAGTATTGCAAAGATGCATAATAAAGTTTGCTTTCTGGACATAGAATCATTTGGGGCCCAAGCAATGGTGTGGGACATAGACTGATTCAGGGTCATGTGTATTCTCCCACAGGATTCTCTACTTGAAAATCAGATTCAGCCCTGGCAAAGAATACCTGAATAATTACTCCTGCTGTACTTTTAAACACTATTGTTGATTACAGGGGGAGGGCTGTTTTCTGGGATATGAAGAATCGTCTACCTCGCTCCGTTACAACGTTCACATGGGAAAACAGCTTTGTGTCCGTGTACAGTAAAGACAATCCTAATTTACTATTCAATATGAGTGGTTTTGAGTGCCGTATATTACCCAAGTGTAGGACAACACATGAAGAGTTTACTCACAGGGATGGTGTGTGGAACTTACAGAATGAAGTAAGTATATGGGTATCAGTTACTACAAATTTGTGTTCACCCATCATCAGATCTGACTTAGACTCTTGTGGTTCTCTCAACACATGTGTGCTTGAGTTGTGCTGTATTTCATTTCAGTGTCTAATAGGGCCCACCCAGAAATGATAGTACTTGTAAGTGAAAAGTATCAAAGTACTAGTATCAAAGCTGGGAGAATATCACCACAGCAGTGACTCGTTCTAGTCTCTGGACAATCCTATTTTAACTTGTTGTATGTGCTGTTTTATTTTCTATAGTTACTGTAAACATATAAATTATTTAATGGGTTTTAAATTTGAGTGAAATCTGCTAAATTAAGGCTATGTGTGCGAGTCGATTTACAATTGAACTTAAACATCGTTAAAGTGAAAAATTTATATTGTATATTGCTGCTTTTATAACAAATGTGATTGTTCTTTAAGTTGCATTCCTGTAAGCATCGTAAGATTTTGTACAGTTCATGAGAAATGTTATCGTACAGAATCTTGTAATCACATTAAAACTCTCCTAAAACAAGTCACTGAAAATGACACAATCCCTGTTAAATTTTCGAAAGTTCTCTTTGATCTCGTCATATTAAAGCGGAGGGGTTGTCGTGAGCGTGTCCTTGAAACTTTAGTTCCAAGTGGCGTATACAACAGATTGTTTATTTACATCAAAACACGTGTTCCGTGTAGTAGTAATATGGCCAAAAATAATAACAGCCGTTATTCGGCAATCTTTGATCTGATTATGATACACACTTGATATGTATGATGTATGCCAAATACGAATGAAAATGGTACATACATTGTGGAAGTAGTAAGGCCAAAAAGTCAGATGGCTGTCAATCGGCCATTCTTTACCAGATTTTGAAACAAATTGTCATGGACATGCATCCTAACATGTATAAAGTACATGTATGTGCCAAATTTGAATGAAAACTGACAGAGCACGTCCAAGATACCGCATAAAAAAAAACTACAAGATGCCTACCAGTCGACCATCTTTGATCCAATTGCGAAATAAATCGTCATGGACATGTATCCTAACACATATAATCTATGTACCAAGTTTGAATGACAACTGACAAAGCATGTCCAAAATGCAACATTTTCAAAAAAACAAGATGGCTGTTAGTCATTTTGAATCGAATCGCTAAACCACTGCATGTGCATATGTCCCACATAAAGTACTAGGCACATGCAAAGAATGAACGGAATCGGTCCAAGGGATTCTGAGATATGACTATGGACGGACGCACAGATGCACGGACGGAGACCGAATTATAAGTCCCCGTTTTCGGACTTCGTCTGAACGGGGACTAATAAAGCAATTTAAGCCATGCAAACTTCAAAATGTGAAAATTGTGTTTTATTTGGTGATCAGTCACCACAACCTAGCTATCATTACTCCAGTATTTCAGGATTTGTTGCCATACCAACTAATTTTATCATTTTTCATAGTGATCACAATAATCAGTGGGAGGTGTTCTGCATATAATACAGAGTGGGAATACAACTTTATTGTACCTGTGCATTGTATGGTATCTACAGCTACAAGTCATTTTATATCTTGTGGTTTGTTCGTATAATCAATGCTATAATAAATTCAGTGATTTTCTACTATGGGATACTTTTTTCATTTAAGCTATCCTGAATATGACCTGAAACAATTATTATAACAATTTATTATATTTAGACAAAATAACTGATAACCCTTGTCCTACCAGCCACATGTACTTTTACATTGACTTGACTGGGTTAAAAATGACTCCTTTCTATAATATTAACAATCTGGTAATTGTTTCCTAGGTGACCAAGGAGCGTACTGCACAATGTTTTCTGAGAGTTGACGACGAAGCCATGCAAAGATTTCATAACAGAGTTCGACAGATTCTGATGGCTTCCGGATCTACAACGTTTACCAAGGTTTGTACTCTACAGTGAATTTTGGAAGCATATTTACCAAACCAAATTTTAAAAATCTGTGCATCTGTTTTTCTTTTAAAAAACCTGCATTGTTTCTTTCAGATTGTAAATAAATGGAACACTGCCCTGATTGGATTAATGACGTATTTCCGTGAAGCTGTTGTCAACACACAAGAACTGCTTGATCTACTTGTTAAATGTGAAAATAAAATACAGACTCGTATCAAGATTGGTTTGAATTCCAAAATGCCAAGTCGTTTTCCACCTGTTGTGTTTTATACACCTAAAGAGCTGGGTGGACTTGGTATGTTGTCTATGGGACATGTGCTGATACCACAGTCAGATTTGAGGTAAATATATTTATTAATGTGTTTATGCTTTTAACTATACTCGGAGCTTGAACTTTGAAATTGAGAGAGCATCCAATTTCAATTTTATAAAATGGTCTTGGTGTATATGAATAAGACCAGGAAAAGTCTATTTTTTTCAAAGGGTGTCAAGGCAAACTTTCTGGGCATCTGTTGAAAAATAAAAATTGTCTTGCACTGCTCTCTTGATTGTCTATAAACAGAATTGTTGTGTTCATTACAGATGGTCTAAGCAGACAGATGTTGGGATAACTCATTTCCGTTCCGGTATGAGTCATGATGAAGATCAACTGATCCCTAACTTGTATCGTTACATCCAGCCATGGGAAAGTGAGTTTATTGATTCACAGCGTGTATGGGCTGAATATGCACTCAAGAGACAAGAAGCGCTGGCCCAAAACAGGTATGCTGTCATCACTTGTCAAAACTGATAGTAGTTTGTGTGTGAAGATGCTAAGTATTGATTGTGTAAATCAACATTTTTCTTGACTATTACTTGAGGTTCAAGCCAAATTAAGTATATGTCATGTTCATCATATTTAAATTATAAGAGTTCCTGCCATTGAGATACCAAAAATATATATGTAACAAAAATTACGGTCACCAGACAATTTTTTGAAATATGGTATGGTATGAAAATGTTGTATATTATTATTGATATGAATCCTAATATTGTAAAAAAAAAAAAGTTACGTATAACTTAGCAAGTTTCGAGGGTGATGATAGTTTTTTTTATCTCCCATAATGCATTGCGTGAATTTGCAGTAACTTCCTCAGGAGTGCAAAATATGAATTCCCCACAAACTGCCTTTTAAGACTTGCTCACCATAAGGTAACTGTAAATGTAAATTTTTCTCAGGCGGTTAACGCTGGAAGATTTAGAAGATTCATGGGATCGTGGGATACCACGTATCAATACATTGTTCCAGAAAGACAGACATACACTGGCATATGATAAAGGATGGAGAGTCAGAACAGACTTCAAACAATATCAGGTAAGTAATTGTACATGTGATATGACCTGATGTGTGGCACAGTGGTTAGCATATTCACTCAGTATCATGGAGATTGTGGGTTTATAACCTCATGTGTGGTAGAATGCTTTGTATAGCTATCTGCATTTACTATTTCGTCCTTAATAAGTAGCCATAGCTTGAACTTTGTCTTTCACAGCAACTAAACTAATGTGTTTGCAATCACATTGCTGCATATAAATAAATGAACAAATAATCCTGGTAGATTCTTACTGTGTGTACTCAGCTGGTTGGCATTGTCTTTGTTCTTTCTGAGTGGCTTAGGTACTCTTTATTGTCATGATCTTGTTAAAATAACAATTGTATTATGAGGCCTTGTTGGTATTGCATGCATTGTATGGTATCTACAGCTACAAGTCATTTCATATCTTGTGGTTTGTTCGTATAATCAATGCTATATTAAATTCAGTGATTTCCATTATTGCTTAGTTACTTGTCATCTAGGTAACTACAAAGGATTTATCCTGAAACATTTCCTTCTGTATAAATTACAAATAGGTACTGGAAAATTCTGTTCTCAAGAAATATTGACTATGGACTGACCAATTAGTCATTTAACTTCAGGGCAATTTCTTTGTTTTATTTACTACCGGATTCGGCTGATACCCCGCCCTGGGCGATCTTATGGAGGATTCGATTTTTAGTCCCCGTTCGGACGCAGTCCGAAAACGGGGACTTATGTTTTGACCTCCGTGTGTGTGCGTGCGTCTGTGCGTGCGTCCGGACCTGTATCTTAGAAATGCCTGGACCAATCACAATCAAACTTCACACATACATCATACATGATAGTATACATATGCACGTCAATTTGTTTCACGATCTGATTCCAGATGGCTGAATGGCGGCCATTTTTGTGCTGAAAATCATCAAGAACAAGCATTTCTCTGCTGTTAACAGATGGATTTCGTTCAAACTTGGTATATACATTAGACATTATAGGACCTTGATGCACATCATTTTGTTTTACGATCTGATTCAAGATGGCCGAATGGCGGCCATTTTTGTGTCAAAAAATCATCAAAATTAAGCATTTCTCGGCTGTTTACAGATGGATTTTCTTCAAACTTGGTATATACATTAGACATTATGGGACCTTGATGCAAACCAGCGGCCATTTTGTTTTAATGAATGTGGTTCTTGTGCCATATCTCTGACTTGTTTTTTAGAAAAATGTGGACCAAAAGATCGCCCGGGCGATGTTATGGCAGATATTACGAAGCCCGTCTTGTCCGGAGAAATAACCCTGCACTGATAAAAATGGTCTCAGAAAATGTTTAGAAAAAATAATGTTTCGCGTTGACTAAATATAATCATGCAGAGTATAAATTCAAAGTGTTTTAATACATTGGTGAGAGATCGCATTACGTGAACAAGAAGGGTAAGCAAGCCAAAGTCGAAACTGGGTGCATCATGGACATGACACAACACACGCTGTGACAACTGAGTAATCAGCGAAATCATTTTGGGCGCAATTGAACTTCAAGTACTTCTTGACAAACTGTTGCTGCGCGGCGATACTGCTGACATCAAGTGTGTGTTGACTGAAGTTTGACCCCAAGTCACGCACTGAACTGGCGCGTTACCGTAGCAACCTTTTTCTTTCGTGCTCCGCGCGTCGGCCTAGTAAAATTTTTATCATATCCGACGATACTGTAATCACATAACTAGTCTGCAACTCTGGCTTTGAATATATCAACATAGTTTACTTAGTGCACTGCTTTTCTAATGACGCAAATTTGTTTACAATATTGTACCGGCTCTGAATATTTCAACTTTGTAATGCTTTCATAATAATTACGCAAACTCAAGTAATTTATATTACAGACTTTATAATGCGTTGCACTCGTAATAATTACGCAAACATAAACATGGGTGCATTTAAATCATAGTAGTCAGGTGTCTTGTGGTTCATCGATGATGATGATGATTGGGCAATGACTTCCAGAATTCACGCGCTGATTTTTAAATTCGTCCACCCAGCTTCACCCAAATTAATATAGTTACCTATCATTTGTTCAAAAAACATGTCAACTCTCACAAATACCACGAATGCGAAGAAAGGGAACGTCTTTTTTGGACAAAAAAAAATAAAAAAATAAGTCAAATACAAGATTATGTGTGCAAGGTTAGATTTCTAGAACGTACACGACCGCTTAACTCAGTGTTTTTTAATAATCATGTCGCATGTGAAACGCAGGAGACATTTTAGTTCGCCAATTTCCTGTTTACCGATCTTGAACTTTTTGTCAGGAATGCGATACAGACAAATTATTTTTAGCGTCATATTTGAAATAGTGCGCTCAATGCAAGATGTCGAACGGGAAAATTGGGGTCTGTAAAAATGTTTGTTGGTTCAGTCAGGCAATGTGTGAACCAAAACATCGCCCACTATTTGAAACATCGCCCATGGGCGGGGTTTAGGATGGGCGGGGTATCAACCGAATCCGGTAGTATTTCAACTCTCATGTGTTTATTTATTCAATGTGTGTTTCTTGATTCAGGTATTGAAACAGAATCCATTCTGGTGGACTCATCAGCGGCATGATGGGAAGCTGTGGAACCTTAATAACTACAGAACTGACATGATACAAGCATTGGGTGGTGTGGAAGGCATATTAGAACATACACTATTCAAGGGTACATACTTTCCTACATGGGAAGGTCTCTTCTGGTAAGTAAAACTTATCAATTACTTTTCAGGCCATAGCAATGCAAGTTAGATTCATAACTTAGTTTTGGTAAACATAGTCTTACTTGGTGTTTTCCACAAATTTTAAATTCTATCAAGTGCTGCTAGTTCGCATATATTTGGTTATTATTGCCAAGTATTTTAACATCTAACCACAGTCCTGACATTTTGTTGATCACATGTTAATTACTAAATGTTTTTCAATCAGATCTCAGAGAGACAGGTGGCTGGCCCCTCTAAAACCCTCCATAGAACACTGCTACTGTTTTCTAATTAATGTATTTGTTGTGATGATACCTTTTGGACTAGAGTCTCTGACTTTATTCTATTAACTGAAGATAACATACACCATTTCTGAACAAATACAGTGAAGAAATAGACAATAGTAAAATGATCTCACTTGAGATGATTGCAATATAACTGTATGCGTCTCTATTGCCACAGGGAGAAAGCCAGTGGTTTTGAAGAATCCATGAAATACAAGAAATTAACAAATGCTCAAAGGTCTGGTTTGAATCAGATCCCCAACAGAAGATTTACATTATGGTGGTCACCAACAATTAACAGAGCTAATGTAAGTGTTTTGTACTTACCATGTGTTTTCACACTGCCACAATGTGTACATTTCTTACGGAGTCAAATTTTACAGTTGTACATTTTATGTACTGCTCAAATCACATCAACAAGAAGTCCATCATTACAAACTCGGTATATCCTTCATCTTCAAATTTTGGCTTGGTCTGTGTTACCATCTGAAGGAACTCGTCATTTTGAAGCCTTTCCCAGTTTTTCTGTTTATTTTTGTTTAACATATGATAAAATGTAAATGAATGAACAGGGAGAGAAGAATCTCTAACAGAAATTCAAATACATCACAAATAATCAATTTATCCTAAATCAACAATTTTTGATGAGGTCTGTGTTGCCTTCTAAACGAATTTTCATAAAAAATAAATTTACAAGATTGGAAGAACCACAATCCAACAGAATGTAATTTAGATTAAGTACCCTAGGAAACCCTGGACATCGTCCCAGTTTCTCAAAGAGATCATTCCAGTGTGTATTTGTTGTGATGATACTATTTGGACTAGAGTCTCTGATTACATTCTGTATGTAGTGAAGATACCATACACCAATTCTGAACAAATACACACTAATGAGAAATGTTGCAATTAAAATTTTGCACAAATAAGATTGAATTCTTGATCACATTGTCATGGTTAACTGCCTTAAAGGCCCATGACTTGCGGCCGGGCTGCAAGATAATCCTTGTTTATTGGGGAGTGGCTATGCATAATGTCCAGTGTTAATTAGTTTCTCGTTATCAGCACCTGGCACAGAGTGTGTTTACAGAACATTGTAATCCTCTGGGTATATTTAAAAACAGATTATTCAACATAGCGAACTGAGATCAATTACATCAAGGTTTAGTCACTGTGATTACATTGAAAACGTATAGTTCCGGCACGGTCTTTTTTAGTGACCGTGGTTCCGGGTTATATTCGCCTGTTACAGAAATCGCCCGGAGCATAAAGTCATAAATTGAGTGACATTGTAGTGTCAGGTACGATGAAATAATTTATATCATGCGTTACTCAGGCCAGAAAGCAGATTAAACTGTATTTAAATTCGTATTTCGACGAGTCCCTCAAGTCCGAACGTACGCTTCCGTTGTTTATTTTCTGGCATAGACAAAAACAAAAAAATGATGGAAATAGAACATAAACTCCCTCAAAAATCATCGACTTACTTGTCGGCAAAAAGAACATGTCGGCATGATAACAATTGTGTCCGTGGTTGGTGTTGTCAAGAAATAAGTATATTAACTAACATGGTGTGGTTTCTTTGCGAATGACAAGCATATAAATTCACAATGAGTGCGGCCGAGAGACGTACACGCAGCTGAATAAGCTAATCGGTTACATTGTATCATTGTTGTTTTTCACCATAGAAGACGCAGTACACATTCAAACACGATAACAAATATTTAAAAAATGGAGCATATTTAGTACATGAACTGCGTAAAAACTACAAGTTGAAAACTTTTTGTGAGGGAATTCGCAATATATCGTCACTCTCATTGTGATATTGACAATAAACTGCTTTCAAACAATACATGGTAAAGTGACAAACGGACGAAATGGCGGTTAGAACCGAAAGGGAAATGGCCCAAATAAAAAAAACACAAATACCTACGATCATATTATTTTATATAGTCCGGATCGGGGTAATGGTAGTCAGTAAAAAGTAGAAATGGTAATAAATCGATCACCACGATAAAGACGATAATGCCCTTGTCGACATCTTGTGCGTTCATCAAAAGTTGGCGCAA